TGTGTGTGTGTGTGTGTGTGTGTGTGTGTGTGTGTGTGTGTGTGTGTGTGTATGTGTGGTGGAGGGGATATGGATGAAGGAGAGGGAGGGGGTAGTGCCCTTGTCCCCTTTAACCTGTTTATAAGCAGGCATATGCGTGAAGATCAGGTTTGCCTCCTGAGGGACCTGAATTATATTCCTATATCCTTATGTATTTTAGAGAACTGTGGCACTACATTTCTATTATACATAAAAATGACACAAGCTTAATAAGTAATTATTTTTATTCCAACTTTTAGATTAAGCTGAAAAAAACAAAAAACAAATCTAAATAAAAAATACTTGGAGGTCAAAATATTAAACATGTTACCTGCACGTAAAATTATCTAGAAGAGCTCTGCACCCCGCCACGTCCCTTCTTTCGCTAGGTCATTATCCCATTTGAAAAGCCTTGTACACGGATAAGCAAGCAATGGTATCCCAAGGCTGTTTACCTATAGCACAGAGATTCATTTTAAAAGCATAACGAAAATACCCATGACCTGCACCCCATTAAACGTTGAGTTTTAAAATGATGTGTTTTCCCCTCTCTGCAGTATCGATTCAAGTTCTGGTTCTATAAGTGTGACGGATTCGAGTCTGTTGTCAGAATCCACCAAATACATTCGCTGGGTGGTCTGCAGATCCACTGACGGAGGAGTATCGACTTCCAAAGTTTCACTGTTAAGAATCGATACATTCGACAAGGACACTCAAATGATTGTAATTGAGTTTTCAGAAACTCTTGCAAATGTCCGAGCGGAGCTGTAAGTTGAGTAGTAGTAGTAGTAGTAGTAGTAGTAGTAGTAGTAGTAGTAGTAGTAGTAGTAGTAGTAGTAGCAGGAGTAGGAGTAGTAGGAGTAGGAGTAGTTGGAGGAGGAGGAGGAGGAGGAGGAGGAGGAGGAGGAGGAGGAGGAGGAGGCGGAGGAGGAGGAGGGGAGAGTGGAGTAAAAGTGATATTTCATGCGCAATGCTGTAATGGAAACACTAGTCATTGTTTTACACCTTAACAAATGTACACCGACTGAAGACTGGGATGAGCCCAAATTATGAATCAAAGACACGGATCTTCGCCCCCTTTCGATAGATATGGTCAGAATATATAATTAATTAATGTAGATATTTTTAGGTTCTTATCAACACAGTTGAGATAATTTAGGTTGCGGGCTTTAACACATACTGTCGGGATATTCTGGACTGAGAGGTATATAACAACCTTAACAGAAAGACCGAATTGCTCTATAAAAGTTCTCCCCACACGGGTATCGAATAGGATCGTGTGACAGCAAGGCACTTAACTGCTACACCATAGACACCGGTGTTAGTTGGTTTACTTTCTTTAGCAGATGAAACTGGAAACATTCATAATCACGAGCGCGAGAAACCTAATGACTTATGACAATTCATTTTGTGTACGGAACAGATTCTCGTGTGGGCAATAAATGTTACCCGGCCGACTTTCACAACCGACTCGTCCTTCTCTGATAGTGGTAATTTTTATGACAGTGTGAACCATTATAAACTTCAGGACCCCCTTTTCCGCCCCCCCCCCCCCCCCTCAATCCAAAACTTTTCTCGCTTTCCACAACCCAGTTCTAAGACCTATCAAATCCAGACGTCAAGAAAATCCTCAAAGTTTCTTCACACTGACGTTCTATTTAGGATCATAAAACCAAAGCAAAAGATATAGCAGTCTAACTTTTAACAGAGATGTTTATATCAATTATTGAAGACGTCTGACCTCAGAATTTCCATCAGCTAATCTCCTAAACTAGTTTGTTTGAGTAAATAGAAACACATCGATACAATTAGGGTCATTTAGTGTTGAGAAATAGTAAGCCAGACAGACAGAGACAATAGTGGGAAAGTAAAGAAGTAGGACCTACCAGTGACGCCCTCTAACCACCCGCAGTCCTCAGCGGTTTTTCTTTTTTCCACAAACATAACAATTCTGCCTTTGTGATCCTAACTTTTGATAATATTGCGTCGTTTGCTTTCTTAAGCCTCTTTCCCGTCTATTCTCAGAAACGGCTTCAAGTCTCGGGCACAGTTATTCTTCACCGACACCCAGAGACTGGACTTCGCTCAAACGTTTGATACAAATACAGGCGGCAGCAGACGACGTCTTCTAGCTTCACAGTGAGTTCACACATTGCAAAAAGGGTGTATTACACTTTGAGAGGACTCGGCGACACGATTAGAAAGTAACAAAAGATGCCTCTACAAAGTAGATATATTCATTGTTTTAAGGCATACCGTTTCATTGCAAATATAAATTAAAAATATATAATATAGACAAA